TTTGGCCACATGTCTCATAGCCCAGATCTTGTAGGTCCACCTGGACTTGCTTGCTGTCTGCAAAGTTCATATTCAGGGAGAGATGGAAAGGGCATTACAGAGTCTCTGAGTCTAACCAGAGGGTGAGGAATGGCTTCTTTGAACTTATGTGGGAAGACTCTTGCTCCAGGCATCAGGACTTCCCTCTGTGTCTGTTCCTGACGTTCTCACCTCCAGATATCTATGACTCAGTTGGGGATAGATAGCTTTAAGCTCCTTTAAGGCAGATAGAGTGTGGTATTACTTCTTTCTCCCCTAGTGCAGCTGACACTGTGCTTTGCAAATGGGTACTCAGTGTTTGCAATGAATTTTGAGATATTGAAGCGATGGTGATGTTATATGTTTGTAGAAGCTGATACATAATATTCCTGAGAGGGAAAAGGCACTTTAGTGCCTGAGCCACGATTTCAGTCCCTATTCCTCTTGACACACTCTCTCCGTGTAGAGTTCACTCCTTTATGCCTCAGTTTTTCCATCCTCTGAAAATTGAGGGTAAAATACCCACTTCTACCTTTCTAGGAGTATGGTCAGGATGAAATTTCTTGTAATGAAGGAGAGAAAGGAATAAAGTCTGGAGAGTGTTTAGTTTCTCAGAGGAAAGATGATCATTTATCATTTTAGTGACCATGACCCTGTAGTACTTACTGTAGTTTTGCAGGTGGTTGGCCAGGGAGTAAGCAGTAGCTTGGGATATTAGGTATTTCTCTGTGAGGTCTCGGAAGTTCTGTTTGCTTTTTTGTAGCTGGGAGCACAGGTACTGGTTGGTTTCCAGGATGCTCATTTCTGCCCTGGGACCAGAGATTGTGGTGACAGGTACTGCCATGCTGAAGCTTATGGTGGATATAGAGCCAGAGCCTGTGGACAGGAAATCCAAACAAATAATAAATTAGAAACAAGTGAATGGATTATGGTAATGGTTGCACTACTTGGTGAATTAATATAAACATCATTGAGGTGTACAATTATAATGCGTAAATTTTATAGTATGTAAATTATTCCTCAACAAAATTTTTTTACATGAAAAAAAAGAGGATTTAAACAGGTCTAAAGAATGTAAATTTGATTTATAACTTACTTTTTGGATAAACTTTGTCAGCATCTCACGACTCTGAGAATCCTTAACTCCAAAAATAAAGCACAAGATACCTAAGCTCAGAGTCTAAGGCACTGCCTGTAGCAGTGGGAATGCCAGAGGTAGAGTGGGCCCACCATGGCAGGTAACAGTCTGTAGTCTCGATAATAGAATTAGAAGGTGGAGGGTGTCATGGAATCCTAGAAGTCCATGCCTCCCAGTGGTCTAGGCCAGGCTGATACACATGGCAGCTTGGTTTCTTTTCAAGGTCACCACTGGCGGGGATCATCCCATCACCAGCCCCTCTCAGTATCTTGTGACAATACCACAGACCCATCTTTTCTAAAAGCTATGCATATTTTCTTTCTTTCTTTTTTCTGGCAGCTGGCCAGCACAGGGATTCAAACACGTGACCTTGGTGTTATAAGGCTGAACTCTAACAAGCTGAACTAACGAGCCAGCCCTATGCATATTTTCCTTGTTTATTTTTACAGGTACGTAGAAAACGTCAAGGAATCACTTTCCCAAATTGCTTTGTCTTAAGAACTGTGATAAAGTCACTGTTTCCCCATGAAAAATTTTAAACGTTTACATAGTCTTGGTGTTCTTCTTTGGTTCTTCTCCAGTCATTTCCACACCATTTTAAT